ACAAATAGTTCCACGCAAAACATTTTCCTGCCCTTGGGTGCGCTCTTTCATCTTGAGGGCGCAGCAGTCACACCGAGCCAACTAGTTCTCACCCGCTTTGATGTATTAAGCAGGCATTTGTTTTCACACGGGGTGCAGATGGTGCAGATGTTTTGAAATAAAAGGATTCACATTCTATCTGAAACTGAAAGCTGCGTGTCTTTTGAAAGGCGCGTTCCTTGATAATTGCCTTGAACGCATTCAAAGCGGAGAGGTGTCCTTGAAGGCAAAAAGGTGTTTTTCTTAGAAGACGATGTGTTTTGAAGCATGTGTGCAGTGGGTTTTGCTTGCAAATCGGTCCCGCGCACCAAAAATGCGTTCACGATTCACGATACATAACACTGCACTAGAGCGTGGGGCCAAAAATGTTGCGTTTTAAGGCAAACAGATTTGCAATAGATAGTAAATTAAGGATATATGCTGGATTTTGCTAGCGGGAGCGCTTATGCAATGCAAAGACGAAGGGGGTTTTACTGAGGAAAACTAGTTATTTGGATAATATGTTAGGGATGTATAGGTCTGTATAATCAATTAGAATTTTGTGGAGGAGTAGACCATCGCAAGCCGGACATTTTTCAAACCATGAAATGTTGGACGCACGAAGGAGCCTTTGGAACAAATACGAACACAGAATTTCACAGGATCACAAAGACTTCCGCTGCTCCAAACGAACGTTCACATCCTGCACGCACTACACATGTAACACTCGTTCGTTCCTTCCTTGCTTCCGTCCTTCCCTCCCTCCCTCCTTCCCTCCTTTTTTGGCAGAGTCTCTAAACCTACAAAGGTTGGAATAAAGATACTTGTCTCGTTCCAGATTCCATGGAGTAACATTTCCGGTCATACAATTTGTTTTGCTGTCCCCCGATTCAAGGCACAGGAAAGCCTGAGGACAATGCAACATGAACTGGCAGAGGCTTGGCAAGGGTTCCAGCCAATGAAGCATTGGGTTTTCAAGTCTCACTTCGAATGTAGATGTTCAGCTTTGGTGACACTGAGGCGCAGGCGCAACTTTCTGCGAAACAAGCGCTCGCCGAGGCACACCGGGCAATTGTGAAAAAGTCCCCATCATTGGTGTTTGCAGGAGATCAGTGCTTTGTCCAGCCATGACAGTACTACGCAAAAAAGTCAATGCTTGACAATTCTCCACAATTTTTGGGTGAGGCTTCGGAGACTGACTCTGTCGGCGGCCTATATAGGTTGAATATGTTTGTATCACTTCAATTCATATCAAGCCCCCACCAGAACCTTTGCCCACTGCAGGCCCAATGTTTGACTTTACGTTCAGGGGCCTAGTGCAGCTTTGTGTGCCTGACCGGACGCTGATGGTTCCAAAATATGAGCCCGACGATCAGAGTTCCATGGTCTGAGGTGCAGAACTTCGTGCAGCACAGGAGGAAGCGCGGCAGGCGAGTCCCATGAATCGTGAGTATGGTGAGTATTCAAAGCACTTCGCGCCGAAGACGCCCACACCAGGGTTTCAGAGAGGGGACAGAGATCAATGATTAGAAAAAGAGAGGGGGAGATGACGAGACATGGAGTAATACAAAGAAGATCAGAGAAGGAGAGGGAGAGAGGGAGATAGAGCACCGAAGCACAACCTGGCCCCTTGTTGCAGCCAAGAAAACGCTCTCAAGCACCAACAACCATTTTTCTTGCTGACACGTTCGCGTCAACTGGAGTAAACTGAGCTTTACTTCCGTGCGTGGGGTGGTGGTGGAAGCACGTTTCGTTTAGACTTTAGACGTTGTATCACCGCACATAGGAAAGGGCTTCATTGGGGTCACAACTCCTGCCTTGATCTCTTTTCAAGTCCATCCCCAAGTTAGGCCAAATTCGCTTCATAATTTGAGAGTCCAACAAAATCATCAACAACAATAAATCACGAAAACTAGCCTCAGCTAGCTGGAATCGCTCTTGCTTTAGCAAGTTGTTTGACGGGGTGGACGGCACCTCCAAAACCCGAAATAATTGATTAAATCAATGTTATGGACACCCCCTCCGCGGGTTCAACTCCCCCCTGCGGACGGGTGAGTGACAGGGTCTGATGCGCTCTTGGAGATGGCCCTGAGCTCCTCATCTCATCAAGCTGCCCTCGTGAACACTTTCCCATACAAATGCCACTCATCATCAGCAGCTGCTGCTGCTGCTGGGTGGTTTGCTGCTGCTGTTGCTTGGTGCTCCGCTGCTGCTACCAAACTCTATGGTGATTGCAATGATTCTTCTTATGCCTATTCCGCTTGCTTCTTCTCACGCCTGCCACCCCAGAAGATGCAAAGTCCCACCCCATACCATTGCTTCCTTCACCCCGTCCCCCTTCCCAGCCAAGGTGCCTCTTACTCATCATCTTCATCAGCCAATTCCCAAAAGGCCCTGCGGAGAAGAATCCCTTTATGGTGGCTCATGAGATTGCCTTACCCACTCACAGGTGATCACGAAAGCTAGCCTCAGCTAGCTGGAGCCGCTCTTGCTTCGCAGTGGCTAGCTTTCGTTCACCCCCCCGGCCTCAAGTTCACCCATGTTGGGCTCCAAAAGAGCTCGGACTGCACGCCCTGACTCCCAACATAATCACAGTACCGCTTGTCTAGGTCCAACGTTGGCCTATGTTGACCTCACTTAAGCCCAGCTCGGGCAATTTTGGGCCCAAGACAAGCCAATTTTTGACCCGAGTTCAACGCAATTTGGAATCCAGCTGCTTTTCGACTCAATGTGCAAAAGTACACACAAGCACTAAGCACAGTGCCAGCATCAAAAATGCGCCTCAATTCAAAACATTGGACCGCCTGGGCCTGGGGCAACATCATCTTTCAGAATCTTTCACATATGTACTTGCAATACCCACTCGAGCCTTTTGCATCTAGATGCCTCAATTATCGTCTACCTTCGACCCTATGTCTTCTCAATCGCTTAGGACGGTTAGGACACAGCTCGCCGTGTTTGTGCCCAAGTCAGCCGCATCTCACGTCCATGTTATCCTTTGCGTGCTGTTTGACATCCGTCGAAGCTATTCTTGACCCCGTTTTGCACAAGCACTGCTCAATCCATCGCCACATAAAAGCAACAAAGATCTCAATTTTACTTATCATCCTTCTGGCAAGCAAGTCCATCTAAACAGCGAATTCTCCAAAACTGTGATGCAAACAAACTGAGTTTGGTCTGCTACCAGAAATTTCGACAGATCCACTCACCGCTCACCAAACAAATTCACCTCCAGTGCGGGCGGGTATTTGATTGATCAGTGACGGTGAGGACTTGCCAATAAAGAACCCATTGTCCGAGTCACGCAGTTTTCGCATGCTTGCGCCCTCAGGCCAACACCAGAGCCGCTGCAGCATCCAAAGCTTGGGGCAGATGATTCTTGGTTCTGACTGAGATCACACTCACAGTCACAGTGCATCAGGAAAGGGATTAAGCAAAGATAGGAAAAACATCAGCACAGGGGCACTGAGTCTATGGAACTCCATTTGTAGAGGGCAACTCAAGACTTTTTCTGCAGAGCTGCGTAGCAACTAGTTTGGTCAACAAGCTTCTTTCTCTTTCACCATCCTCAGATGCCCCAGCCCGGCTGATCTCAGGACCTTTGCCACGCTGACTTGAATCTGTTGATTCACTTAGATCGAAGTAGATAGCATTTGAAAATGTCTGAATATCTTCATCATTCTTCGTTCCGGCAGTGGACGCACTGTTCTCAAGAATGAATTTCAGTGCTCCTATGAATCCTAGGTCTAGGAGTCGGTTTTCCGTGGGCTTCAGCTGGCACATGTTGAATGGGTTATTCCTGTTAAATTATGAGCGTGTTTCACCGGCTTGCAGGAATCAAAAACTGAACACAAGGTGTCAAAGTCACGTAATCAAGCCATATCAAGCCTTTGTTCCGCTTCTGAGTGTTAAGTCTACTTTGAATAGATTTTAAATGTTTGGTATTCATCCCAGCTGACCCACGCCCACTGTGCATCGTGAGGCCCCAGGAATCTCAGATTCCCTCGAAACCCTCACATGCCGTTTGTATGGCTTGCTTGTTCTGGAGTGGCAGAGCGTAGAATGGTATAGCGTGGCTGGAGGGCCTGGAAGAGACCTTTGCTGTTGGACACGTTTGTTGCTTGCAGAGATCAGTTCTCGCAGAACAGCTTGCAAGCTGCCTGTACTTTCGGTGGTAGATCTCGGCAAGAGGCCTCTCGAACAAATCATGACAAACCCAATTTGACACATTAGGGCCTGGGGTGACCTTGGGGATGCACCCAAGACCCAAAGATCCAAGTCAGTCTTTTGATGGCCACATTGCCACCAGGCACCAGGCCTCCTAGTCCGATCTGCAACGATGATTGCAGAGCTCCCCTCACTCGGACGAGCGGTGCAGCATAAGGGACTCACAGCCAAAAATGAATCCGACATGCCGAGAGAAGAAGAAGAAGAAGAAGAGGAAGAGGAAGAGGAAGAGGAAGAGGAGGATGAAGCTGAAGATGATGATGAAGATTAAGATGACAACGATGAGGATATGGATGAGGAGGAGGAGGAGGAGGTTGATGATGTTGAAGATGATGCTGCTGCTGGCGAAGATGAGAGCTGGGGGCTCGCCACTGAATGTGTATAGTTGCTGTATATGATTGACATAATTGTTTGAACTTCCTTAAGCCTCCTGCAACTGCATGCAGGGGAATGCAACCAGGAAGCAGTTGTCCCACTCGAGATGTTCGCCTCTTGATGATGCCATTTGTGGCCGCTCGAGTAACTAATTTAATTGAACAAGTGAAGCCATGTGGACTGTCTTTGCCACAGGGAAGGGGCAAGCAAAGCACACGTGCAGTGCAGCTGAGGGAAAAAGAGACACCATTATCATAACCCCACTCACTTATCACATGAGGAAATCTACTGGCCAGAATAACGAGTGAACTTGTTTTAAGATGGATTGGTTTGAGGCAAGTAAGGTATTAGTTTTGTGATTAGCTTCTATTGTGCAATGGATTGCAATGGCAGCAGGTGCAGGCATACAGGAGTACATAAAAAGCACCTATATAAGCAATAGGTAGAATTGTAAACAGGCTCACAATTACTTGCTGTCCAGCTCCGTCACCCGCTGCATGGAGCAAGTGGTCTCCGCCTTACACGCGCTGTATGCTCCATCAGATCCAGATACAAGAAAGCATCTTTGGCGGATTGAGGACTTGGGACTCGGGTCTGGGAGGTTTTTCTGTTTGTGCGCAGGGGATGACGTGGGCTGTCATTTTTGCCATCAATATGATTGTGGGTACGCCTGTCATGGACTTGCGGATGTAAATTTTCCACTCATGACCTTACTCAATAAAGATGCCAGACGTGAAAAGAGAACACCTTCAGTTTTTGGAGAAGCTTCAGCCATGCTGCAGCATTTTTTTAATTTGGCTTTTGGCGTCGGATCACCGTGCACTAGCCACTGACTAATGAGTTTCCTGGGAGGGCAGCAACATCAGGCTGCGAGGTTGTGCCTTCTGGTGGTGACTGAAGATTCCTTTCGTAACTTTGGCTTCAAGATTAGTGTGACGTACAAGCTAGCACTCCAAGGCAAGCCGATGATTGGCTAACCAGCTTTCAGCACACGCCTGCGGCATGGCAAGTGTCAGATGCACTTCTAAGCCAAGCAGATTCGCCCCTGCAGTTTCTTTTTTTTGTAGCTTGCCGTGCAGATTGAAAACCACTGGCAAATTCCATAGTTTGGAATCATAGACCAAGCACGCCTCCGTTTTCTTGCACTTGCTGCGTATCACTCTCGTCATTGTGTTTGAACACGTTGCAAATGTGGATATTCTGATATTCTGTAGTGGTACGGTATATATATATATGTCAATTGTTCGCCACCGGCTCATGTGCTTGTGTTTGTATATCCTCTAGACTCGTTTGCCCACAACTGCCAGGCAGCTCAAACAATTCGCACTAAAGTGCAGTTTGAGTTCGACGAATTGTCTGCTGACGATTGCATGAACCTCCGGGATTCCCTGCTGCATCACATTGATAGGCCCAACAGCCTTTGCTGCTGTCACGTCTCGGCTGTTACGACATGGCTTTCTGAGAGGCATTTTTACTTGTTTGCGTTTCAGTGGGGCACGCGGTAGCACCCTGGGATGTACAAGAACAGTTAGCAAAGACCTGTGGCACATAAGGGCAACAAACAAGGCTTGGCATTTTTGTGCTGCACTGCTTGGGTAGTATCAGGACAAGTGCTTGGTTTTCTTACGGGAGCAATCTCCTGACCCCATGACCTGCACAGTTCTTTGCGAGGCCAAAGATGTTGTTCAAAGGTCAACTGCCAAAAATATACCACTAGGAACAAGAAGCTACTAGGGGCTCCCGCTACTAGGAGCAAGGACGCTACTAGGGGCTCCTGGCCTTGCTCCTGGCCTTACTACTAGGAACAAGGACGCTACCAGAGCATCGGCCTTGCAGGTTTGGAGCGCCAGAGCATCAGCCGATCCATATGATGTTGGCCATTGGATTGGCAGACCTGGCTATTCAGATGGAACTCTACCTTAATTAAACAGGTATGATCAGCGGCTACAGGCTGTCCCGTCATACTCATGAGTGTATATCGTGGTGGCAGGAAATTGAACCATCAATGATCAAGCACCAGTTGCTGTACAATAGCAGCACCTGGCACTGCCTACGTTGGGATGTAGCGAGCGTACAAGTACAACTTGCGAAGTTCATCAAGTTGTTATTCCGTTGATGATGGTTCGGTTCTGCTTTTTAAACTTGTTCGATCATACCTTGCCCACATGTGTGACCTCGCTTCAAATGTCACCACCATCGCCCCGATCTTTTCAAAGTGCGGAGGACCACATGTGGCCCAACGCTATCGAAACTGCATTCCAGCGCTTTGGGCAGAATCCTGACACCTTCCCAACATTCTTGGAGATTATTCGGATGTTGCCGGAGGAGATTTTCATGACAGCCACGGAATGTTGCAAACCTGCTACAGTACCTGATACGTGATGTTCCCCAAAAAGACTGCTGAATCGCGATGGATTGTGCTGACTTTCACAGGTTTAGACAGTACGGTCAACACAGCAAGTGCAACCTGAAGGAGAACCAGAACCTCAAGCTAGTGACGGACAGCTTTAAGCGTGAATCTTGCAGCCAAAGGCTCCAAAATGCAACGCCTGAAGTTCTTCAATTTCTTCTCAACCTTCCTGATCTTCCGTCCCCAAGAGCGCAGACGAGAAGGAAAGCTCCTTGCCTAACACATAGGCCTCAGGCATGGATGGCGGGTTTACGTTGGATACCATGATAGTCAATATTCTGTTGAAGCCGTGCCTTGCGGACCAAAACCACCTGTTTTGTATTTCCTGCAGCCTTCCAAAGCCTCACTTGGAGCAAAATTCACGCCGAGGCCTTGGAGTGCTTCCTTAGCTGGATCAAGTTCACCAATGTCCCGGCATCACATATTGCTCAGAATCCATTGATTCCGCAGTGTTTCGAGCATGTGGCCCACTGGGATGATCTTAGTGAAACTGCCACAGACACCATCGTCGAGGTGCTGCGGACGTGCTCCATGGACATTTGCGCATATCAGCCAGTGATCCAAGTGGTCTTAAGCCACTTGGGACTTCTGAGGCTGGCGTCTTTATGTTCTGGAGTGGGCAATGGAGGTTGTCCGAGGTTTCTGTTGACTGGAACTCGAACATGCAAATATCCCGAAAGTATGCATCCTACCTACCCCTCGTGCACTCATGACGTGCAAATGCGGTAGGAACACAATGAAGAATCTAAGTTTTTGCTGGCACGTCTGTGTGTGTGCGCGGGCTTTTGCTATCTCGATCCCCTTCACAGGTCCAAGTTCGAAATGCAGCTGAGTCAAAACACGAATGCTGCCATGCAGAAGATCAGCAATTGTTTGACTTTTTTTTGTACATCGGTTTTCGTTATTCTTATATATAAATAATTTAAGCTTTGCAGGTCAATGACGAGAAACACTTGTTGATGAGTGAGTGGCAAAGTTTAGAGTTTAGAGAAATGCAGGGATTGGTTGCCCTCAAAATATAAACACGGCGTTGGCTGCTGGGGCCGTTGCACGGCTGAGGCCGAGGACCTTGACAGCTTGCGACAGCTGTGCCGGATCTTCGTGGAAGTTGGCGAGTGCCTGGTGCCACTGGTATTGACACAGAGCACCGACACAGAGGTCGCCAGCATACTGCAAGTCATCCTGAAGTGCACAGATTTGCCTTCGAGGGAGATTAGCCTTTTGTTTGCAAGACGTTGTTGCCAGCAGCCAACTGAGTCCCTTTCAAAGCTTGTGAAGTTGCGTTGTCAAGTCATCATGCTTAGAGGCTTTGTCATTGTAGGTTTTGCTCGCTAATGTTGAGGCTCAATACCTTTGGAGTTTTGGCACAGGCTTGCAGATGAAGTTTGCAGGCATCCCGAAGCTTGACCGAATTTCAATCAGCAGTTGCAATGATCAACAACTTGCCTCTACTGGTTCGCTAGCCTGGCAAGCATGACAGTTGTCCGCCAGTCTAGCCAGACATTGGCAGACCTTTCCGCCTCAACATGACATGCCGATGTTGGTTGGGAGCATAAGGCAGCATTAAACAAGTGGTAATCAGCAGTCTTGATTATTGTCCCTTGCTCAAGAGGCACAACAGCCGACCATTTGACAAGCATCAGCCGGCAGTTCGATGTTCAGACATGCCAAGCATGTGGGTTAGCGCCATAAATTTGAAATGTTTGCGGTGAATATTGATGCCAACTGTAAAGTTCACGTTGCATATCATCGCGCACTGCTAAGGAGACTGATGTAAAGATCGATCAATTTCAGGGCGTGTACATCGAGTTGCTCAGTGCTAGCATCCATCAATGCGCGATGAGTGCTGCTCAGGATCCCTTCATGGCAGCAGCCTGGAAGCAGCAGCCTTGAGACGTTTTGCTTCTAGGCAACGGGCCTAGGGTTCCTACTATGGGTTCCTAGGATTGAGGTTGAGGGCCCCGCTGGCACAAGGTGCAAGCGGGCGCACCCTCCGATATTTAGTCCGTACAGGCTTCAGCCATACAGCCATGTTAGGGGCCGAATGGCTGCAGCTTCAACTAGAAAGGTCATTGGCATGATTTGTTAAAGCTTTGAGGTGTTGCCAGGTAATGTTTCTGCACGAGCCGCTGAAAGCGAGAATGACCCAAGGACGATGAAGTCTTGGCCTACAGGCAACGGATGCTGGGCCTGGTGGAGGACATCGGTCTACCTACTTCTAAAAGCAATGACCCATGGCCTTCAACCTACTAGCGATGGCCTTCAACCTACTAGCGATGGCCTCCAACCTCCTATAGCAATGGCCTCCAACCTACTAGCGATGGCCTTCAACCTACTCGTAATGATGGCCTTCATCCTACTAGCAATGGCCTCCAACCTACTAGCAATGGCCTCCAACCTAC